TATGATATGCAAAATACGATGAGCATTACTAAAACAAAATCACGTAACTTCGAACAGAAAATATTTATAATTTGTTTTAAATGAAATAATAAAATTTTTAACGATAAAAAAAAACTCGATCGAGATTGAATTAAGAGAAATACCAGGATTTAAAAATTTTCATATCTCAATGATAATTTAATTTTTATAAATAATATATTTGTACCTGTTATATTTATCGGCCGCGATACCCAAAGCAACACCTATAATCGTGAAAACGGCGATGAAACTCGGACCAGCTAGTATTTGATAGTCGAGACCAAGGCCATTATAGTTCCATTCGCAATAGCTGGTCCCATTCAGTTCCAGGGACACACAACTGTAAAATAAGATACATTCTAATGTTATCTAAGTTGGTTCTAATTCGATCAGAGTTAAAACGGATACACGAGTTCATAAATGTAATCGATAACATGCATATTAGTAGTAGAAATGTTAAATAGATGTATAAGTTTCTATTCTATTTTTCTATTATTTATATAATAATGTACAAAGTATTATTAGATTATCTTTTTGGATAAATAAATGTAATATTTCAATAAAAATTTAAAAAACGAATTATTTCATGATATATCATAATAAACTTTTAAAAACGTACAAAGAGACTTACAAACTTTCATTTTTGGCCACCTCACACTGAATCGGTAGATCAATAATCGCTAACGTGGTCGAATTTAATTGACAAGAAATATCACCATAGTGGAGATCCTCCGCTGTCGCTTTGCTTGTAACACCTTAAAAACGATAGCGCATAAGAAAATTACATTAATAATGAATATTCTCTGTAATTTATCGCTAATTATTCAATTATGTCCGTACGTTGATAAACACGTGTTACATGTAAGAATTTACATTGTGTATAAGAATATAAGAATCCAAAAGAATAGAAAGAAGAGGAAAAAGGAGGAAAAAGGAAAAAAAAAAAAAATACCGAGATACCCATCTTGGAATTATGTTGCGCGTAATTATATCTCGAATTGACGATTTTATGAGGATAATTTAGTTTTTTTTTTTTTTTTTTTTTTTTTTTTT